TCCTTTTCTCTGCCTCCTATCGTATTTGCATTTATTATATAAGTTGTAGAGAATAAAATTCTCTACAAATTTTGTTTAAAACTTTTTTTTATACGTCTAATCGTTTTTGAGATAGAGGGCGCAGAGTGTGGAGCGCTCAGCCATACGTACCTTTAGCGCAAGGTAAATCATGATTCCCAATCTATTATACCGTTTTTTTAATTAATTATTTATTAAATATGACTTAAATAACAATTTAATACCTTATATTTATTTTTATATATTTTTTTAAAACAAATAGTTATTAAATATTACTTACTTTTGACATTCAAATAATTAAATAATGAAGTAAATCATTCTAAATATATTCTAATATTATTCTAATTAATGATAAATGCATTTTAAGAAGAAAAGACATTAAATGAATTTGCCTTGAATATGTCTCTGGTCATCTCTGGGATCCAGATAACAGACCTGGAAATACTATAGTGGGCTTGCTATAAATAAAAAGGTTAGGTATACCTATATTTAAAGCATGTTAATGTAATAAGTTACTTTCTGAAGGTGATTCTGTGACTTTTGTGCGCGGTATAAAGACTTTAAAAGAAGCAATTATTGAGAGAAATAAACATAAACTACCTAAATACTTTGACTTTTGTGAACGTTCATATTGAGTGTGGAAAATTGTACGCTATAGCGTACTATAGTAAAATTGCCGCAGCAAAACGTCGCCTTGAAGAGACAGGTCCTTCAACGTCATCAACTGTACCTCGTAAAAAAGGGAATGATGTGTTTGATTTTAAAATATTGTGCTTATTTTGTGGTGAAGTCGCAGATGAGGCAACAAAGGCAAAAAAATCAGCAAAGTACAAACGCGTTATAAGTAAGTTTTTGAAGATATGACAATTAATGTCAATGATAACGAGGAGAGTGATGATGAGAATGAGTCTGAAATTCCTGGCCAACCTGAAGAAGACGAGGATGAAGAAGATAAAGATTAATAATAATATTGATATAAATAAAAACATTTTTTCCTTCTCCGATCCAATTATCCTTCATTAAAATTAAATTAAAATATAAGATATACAGTGGTGGTAATGTACGCGTATTCCCCTTTGTAGACAAAGACGCTAACAATAGAGATGCCATATAAGACGTGTAAAGTGTGGAGTGCCCCACCACTCCAGGAGTGGTGGGGCACTCTGCCTTGGGCAGACAACTTGTAGCGGCGTCAGACCACTGAGTGGTGGTATTTTTGTGGTAAATTTTCAAATGTTCTCAAATTAAAATGGTCTACACTCTTGAAGAAAAAATTCAATTCGTAACATGGCATATAAGTGGGATGTCAGATCGACAAATTCAACGAATATTTCCCAATATGTTTCCTAATAGGCCCTTACCAGCCAGAGCAACAATTCAAAATGTTGTAAATAATTTTGTTACATATGGCAGTGTCAATAAATGTACCCATAATAGGGAACCGCAAGCAAGGCCTGTGAATGAAGAGCGCGAATTACAGGACACTTTGATTTGTGCAAGCATTGAACAGGAACCGACCCAGTCAACCAAACAAGTTGCCGAACAGTTTGGCCTTTCAAGGTCTATGGTTGGAAAAATTTTGGGAAAGCATGGGTATCACCCATATAAATTAAAGAGAGGCAATGAGCAGTTTCCTGGTGATCAATACCGTCGCATGGAATTTTGCGAAACCGTAATGGAAATGGCGAATCGGGATGAAAATTTTACCCAAAATATCCTTTTCACCGATGAGTCGTCATTTACTTTACATGGTAGGCACAATTCCATGAACAAACGATATTGGTCCAGGACAAATCCTCACCAATTTTATGCCGCCAACACCCAAAGACCTCAAAAAGTAAACGTTTGGTGTGGTATACTGGGAGACCATATTATCGGTCCATTTTTTATAGATGGAACGTTAAATGGTCAAAGGTACCTTGAAATGCTGCAAAATCAAATTGTTCCCGCAGTTCGTGCTCTGCCTGTGCCTTTTGAAGACGTGTGGTTTCAACAGGATGGATGTCCCGCACATAACACTCTGTTGGTCAGAGAATATTTGCAAATCACTTTTCCAGAACGGATTATAAGTGGTCACGGAAATATTCTTTGGCCAGCAAGATCACCGGACTTGGCTCCGTGTGATTTTTTTATGTGGGGGTATGCAAAGTCAAAAATGTATGGATTTCAGCATCTTAGGGCCAATAATCTTGATGAATTAAGAGCAATGATTATTGATACATTAAGAAATATTAACCCTAATATGCTGTCAAATGTCCGTCAAAATTTTTACAACAGGTTGACGTATTGTTCGGCAGCTTTTGGGCAGCTATTTGAACATTTGCTTTAAATTATTTTTTCTTTACGTTTTTTAGAATACTTTTTTATTTGAGAATATTTGTTTTTTTATTACAAGAATATTATTGTTTATTTTCCACATTTCCTAAGAAATATTTGCAAGGAATTTTTGTTCCTGTAAACAAAATCATAATAAAATATTTACGTTGTTTTATAACAACCGACTACACCCTACCTCAGTTGTAATGAAACTGACACTAAATAGTGGCAAATCTCGAAGTTCGAGACTCGAACATGTCGAGTGGGCGGGACCCGCCCGGCGGGTAACGCAGATAGTTAAAGCAGGGGAAGCAAAACATTGGCGTGTAATAGACCGTTTTGATTTAATTGTTTTAAAAATTTCTACTGCACGCTCATGACGGAGGGGAATCACGTTTGTTAACCAGTCGATGGTTGTTAATCTCACTCTTTCGTACGTTTTATATTGCATGCATCTTTGTCACAATTTGGCCTAAATGTGCATTATTACCACTGTATATGAAAATAAAATATATTTGATTTAAAAGAAATATAAATGTAAGCATAAGGTATTAAATTTTTATTTTAGTAATATTTATTATTTAATTATTAAATATAATAATAATTAATATAAAAACGGTATAATAGATTGGGATTCCCGATTAACCTTGCGCTAAAGGTACGAATGGCTGAGCACTCCACACTCTGCGCCCTCTATCTCAAAAACGGTTCGACGTATAAAAACAATTTTTAAACAAAATTCGTAGAGAATTTTATTCTCTACAACTTTTATAATGCATGCAAATACAATAGGAGGCAGAGAAAACGAGATATTCTCAAAAAACTAATTTTTCCGACTTTGACCTTGAATATCTAAGGCCGCTCACACGTTGGCATATGTGACTTTTGAGGCAAAATTTGTAATGCTAAAATAAAGGTTTTCACAAAAATTCAGCTTATTCCGTTAGATTCCGAGGTTGATCCCCTTTTAAATAAACTCAATTTTTTTGGGAGAAAGTTTGTTTTAATTATAAAAATTAAATTTTTAAAATTAAAAAATGTCCTTGATTTTTTTTAAATGTCATGGAATTGTCCTGGAAAAAACCTGAAAAAAATTAATGGAAAGTTCGTGGGAATACATTTTTTTTTCATCCTGATAAATTTGCCGAACTGATGAACATGGAGAACTATTTCACCAAGTATAGCTGCAAATCTAGTTGGATTCATTGCTAAGAAACATTTGCTGGAATTTGCATCAAAAGATGTACGATGATGATACCATAATTCAATTCGATATTTAATACGATTTAATAAATTTAAGGTAGAAAAAAACAAAATTATGCAATTTTGTGGTGTATAAAAAATACCTAAACTTGTTTACTTTGTTGCCCTTTCAATTCAATAATTAAAATAAACGACAAAAAATAATGGTTGTTTTTTACATAAAATACATTAAAATTTTAGTATTTAAAATGTCATATTGTTAAGATAAATATGATCTATTTTTCGTATACCAATTACTTCAGTACATTCAAGATAAATTTAAGAGAAAATAATTAAAATACTAACAAAAAACTTACATTTCGAGGTGATTAAGCAGACCATTTTATTACGAAATTATTTTAAATCCTAGACGTCGTAGAGAAAAACCAAGCGACCCAAAATTAGTTAAACTAAGCTGGAGTACTCAATGTTAGGAAAAAAGTTTCTAAAACTATCATAGTGTTTATATTATTAAGAAACTCAACGCTTAAATGCTTATACCTATACTATATACTATATAGTATATAGTTACGTTAGTGTGTGTATTTTATCTAAGGAATCATGATGAATTATTGTGTTTTTAATTGTAAATAAAAATCAAGAATTAAATCGTTGCATTTTCATGTTATGCCAAAGGATCCAATTCAGTAAGTAAGTAACATTTGTTGGTGCAGAATTAACTAATGATAACTTTACCTAATATGATTTATATTTAAGTTTGGACATTTTTAAGAAATTAGTAAAAAATAATGTTTGCACAAACATAACCTTAAAATCAACCATTTTTATATTTGAGTTCTCTAAAAAACGCCTACAACTGCATTTTAAACAACAAAATATACCTTCGAATTCATGGCATGACATATATTAAATATAATACAAAATATAATGGTTTTTACCGTTGAGTGGAGACTTTTAATATTACTAAATGCTGTTTAAATTTCGACGACTTTGTTTGACGATTTTTACTGAACTGTTAATCATTACTAAAATGTGTATTTATTGTATCTAATAGATACAATTTATATTTACAGGGACATTATGAAATTTATTTCTTCATTCGGATTAACACTGTTTATTGGAAAACCGGTAAAAACTCAACCCAGGATTTCCTCTCGAAATACACCCAACAATACAACAAATCGTGCCAGGGTTTTTTTCCCGATATTTTTTAACATTTTCCGGATTTATTCTCAAAAACACTCGTTTGTAACATAAGCGTTTGACAGCTGATTATTAAAAGTTGTACTTTTGTTACCATGATAACAGCCGAGTGGTGGCGCTACTTCTTTAGCGTGTAGGTACTTTCTTATTTAAATTTAAAGCACTTTTTAAATTTTAAAATATAACCACGTCGAAAAACTGCTGCCTAAAATCAAACAAAATTCATTAATATATTTTAATTCACTTATTTATCCTTTTAGGTTTATACTGTTGGACCAGACTATGCACATGCAGAGGCCCGTAAATCCCCGGCCTTAGACGGAAAAGTGGAACGGGATAGAGAAGGCAAAGAAATCCGTTACCCTGTGATACTTAGCAACGTGGAAAAATTAATTTCACGAAAAGTCTGCCTTGCCTTTAAACAAGCGGTCTGTGGATTTGATCTTCTAAGAGCTAACGGTATGATATAACTTGAGTGGTAACTAGATCGCTGTCAATATTAAAATGGGTATTTTATTAAAAAAATATATTAAAAAGCTAATGCCTTGATAGAACATATTATTGTGTGCGAAATATATTATCAGAGACTGATTTGTATTAATTATACTGGGTGGTCCTCAACTTACGCCCCACCGAGAAAGGGCTAATGGTAACGACACTAAAAAAGTGAAAAACCTCTTTGTTTGGTAAATAAAGAGGTTTGAAATTGACCAACTCAATTGATACTTTAAATATATAAAAAGATGTGAACAAGCCTTAGCATTTTGACACGTTAAGGTTTGATTATGTGTTATGTCATTAAGGCTGATAAGCTTTGTCAAAAACCATAGACAAACCACTGTCAAAAACCACGAAGAGAACCGCTTTAATTACAATAAAACTGCATAAAATAACATTGTGAACGAATAAGCACAAATCACAGAAGATACTAAAAAATGTCTCCGTTCATTTCAATATAAAACTGTGCTCTCCTAATCAGGCTTGCTTGACAATTCTGTATCATTTCAAGGGTTATCTGTTGAAAGGCTTCCTGAAATCAATTTCTCTATTCCGCCTCTGTCTTTTTGATACTCCATATACTTTGTCTTCTACTTGACACCATAGGAAGAAATCGAGCGGTGTCAAATCTGGAGATCGAGCAGGTCACTCTCGTGGGCCACCTTGTCCAATCCAGCGCTGAGAAAATTGCTCATGTAACAAATTTTGGACATCTGCTAAAATGCAGAGGTACTGAAACCAAAACTTTGATTTGTGCAAACAGTGGTTAAATGCCACAAAAATAATAGACAATATTAACGTTAAGACCGCTTCTGTTTCCTATGAACATTTTCTGGACAGTGACTATAAGTTTAATTTAAAACAACAACGCTTAAACTACAGCCCTAAATGTTATCAAGGACTGAAACCATCGATTATCCATATTATAACACTTTCTTCAATATTAAGTTTAATAAAAATGCACTATGTCCAGATATTTCTCTATTTTCTTTGATAATATTACTATTATTCGTGTATTCGCAACTACTCATCAAGTGACGTCATGCGCGGCACGAACCAAAACTCGTACACGGGAGCATCCAGCCCTGCTTGGAATCCTCTAGCAAAAATAGCATTTGGATTTTTCTTAGCCCAGACATGCTAGTTGTGTTAGCAACCTTCTCGACCGTAGGTTTATCCATAAATAAAACCCGTAGTTTAACAACCATTCGCTAATGAGTTGGTTTTTTAAATTTTTAAAAAAAACCTCTTTGATACAACCCTTTGACTGGTGGTAGGTCTTTCCTCGAAATTATCTAAAAGTTCATCCAGTTCTACTGTTTGTGCAGTCATTGGAGGACCTCCAACCTCTGAACGGCCGTTTAGGCATCACTTGTTCTGTTTTAATCCCTCTTGCAAAAGCATGTAAAATAACTGTATGATCAGGATGTCTGATCCTCAAACAAATTATTACAAAATTATGATGCCATAAAGTTTTGGTTTGTTTTCATATTAACTTATATTAAATGTGCATTATTTAATCCTATTAGACATATGTTCCATAATTATTTTGTATATGATATATAAAATAATTAGCATGAAAAACAATATATAGGTAAAATTTTCTACTATATTCATACAGGGTGTTTCTTTTAACTTGAGACAGCTCAATATCTCGAGAAATACGCATTTCACGGAAAAATGTCTTAAATAAAAGGTTAATGTGACTATAGGGGACATTATTTGGTGCTACCGCTAGCCACCCCCTACCCCTCCTTAAGGGTGAAACGGGGGGTAACTTTGGAAATTCAAATGGAATGACCCGATTTTTTTCACAGAGTTTGGTAGTACATAAAAAAATAAATAACTTTTATTTAAAACTTTTTTCAATTTATCAACAGATGGCGCTGTAATTCAAAATTTAAAAAAAATGGGTTTCCTTGTAAAATGTATTATTTGAAACGTTTGAAAAACAAAAATTAACATTAACAACAATAGTCGGCTATGAAAATATTTTATAACAAATGTTCGAAATGTCGTCATTCCATTTCAACACATTTTTGAATGCGGGTAATGAATTCTGGCACACAACGCGCCAAAATATCGGGCGGTATCGCCGCACAGGCGTTCCTGATCCGCTCCACCATGTCCTCCCAAGTTGAAGGAATTGCAGCGTAAACTTTTTCTTTCAAGTAACCCCACTGGAAGAAGTCTGGTGGCGTAAGATCAGGTGATCGAGCAGGCCAAATTACTGGACCACGTCTACCGATCCACCGCGGTGCACCGGCCATTGAACTCCCGATCCAACACCTCTCGAGCAATTGTCGAATAATGAGCAGGACAACCATCTTGCTGGTACCACATGTTTTGGAGCCGTGCTAGTGGTACATCCTCCAAAAGGTCCGTCAGATCATTTTCTAGAAAATTCCGGTACTTTTCGCCATTTAATGCACCGTCAATAAAGAAGGGTCCGATTAATCGTTCGCTTAAGGTACCGCACCAAACGTTTACCGACCAGGGACGCTGGTGCTCTACTTGGTGTCGAAATGGAAGGACGACATTTCGAACATTTGTTGTTCGAGCCGACTATTGTTGATTTAATGTTAATTTTTGTTTTTCAAACGTTTCAAATAATACATTTTACAAGGAAACCCCTTTTTCTTAAATTTTGAATTACAGCGCCATCTGTTGATAAATTGAAAAAAACTTTCAAATAAAAGTTATTCATTTTTTTATGTACTACCAAACTCTGTGAAAAAAATCGGGTCATTCCATTTGACTTTCCAAAGTTACCCCCCGTTTCACCCTTAAGGAGGGGTAGGGGGTGGCTAGCGGTAGCACCAAATAATGTCCCCTATAGTCACATTAACCTTTTATTAAAGACATTTTTCCGTGAAATGCGTATTTCTCGAGATATTGAGCTGTCTCAAGTTAAAAGAAACACCCTGTATATAATATAATATAAATACGAAGTGTATATGTACAGAGGCGCCTCTGTAGATAAAGTTACGGTTATGTACAGAGGCAGATTAACTAGCGTCTAGAGGCACCGAATTATCTTGGCTCCCTGCCTCCTAGAGATGCGCGTTTTATAGAAATGTACTCAAACTCAACAACACAACCCAACCGACCCCGCCCCATTGGGCCCCCCCCCGCCCCATTGAGCAAAAAACCCAACTAAAATGGGCAAATTTATGTTACGATAAAAATAAAACACTTTTTAATTACATAAATTATCCCATTTTAGTTGGGTTTTTTGCTCAATGGGGCGGGGGGGGCCCAATGGGGCGGGGTCGGTTGGGTTGTGTTGTTGAGTTTGAGTACATTTCTATAAAACGCGCATGTCTAGGAGCCAGGGAGCCAAGATAATTCGGTGCCTCTAGACGCTAGCATTTCAAATATATGGTACCTAATGTTTGAAAATAAAATGAATTTAAACCATATAACACTATAGTATACTTAATACAAGTCAACGCGTCTCTGTATATTGATTTTTTTTACAGGGACGCCTCTGTACATAACCGTAACTTTATCAACAGAGGCGCCTCTGTACATAACCGTAACTTTATCTACAGAGGCGCCTCTGTACATATACACTTCGATATAAATATATTCAAAATAGCTGTCAGTCAAAATTTATTGTATTCTAATACAAATTAATATTTTAATCAAATAAAAATAAAGAGAGCTACTTTTTGGAAAAATAGTAAGAAAATGTATGGAATGGCCATCCCGGAATGGATTAGATGGATGAAAACAAATTTTATAGACTGGCGGTATCATAAAACTGTTTTGTTGGCTATATAAAGTTATGTAAATAATATAAATAAATAGTTTTATATAAGTTGATATGATTCGAAAAAATTATATACCATGAATTTAGCACCATGCAAAGTTCTATATAAACCTTTTTTTGTTTAAAAAGTCCAAGAGCAATGACGCTATCTGTTCATGATTTTTGTTTGTGTATGGTGTGTTGCATTAATAAAGTATTCAAAATGAAAAAATCATTATTTGGCTGTAATTACGGTTAATCGATATTATTAATGATAGTACATATTTAAAGTAAATATTCTTTTTTCACTAGGGTTACCACCCTGCCCGAAGATTATTTTGGAGGGAGCAGAGCATAATGCGGAATTTATAAAGTTATTTTTATCCATTTTGTTCAGTCAAAATAAATGTTATATTTTTAAAAGTATGCTTTTGGCGTTAATACTTTCGTAATACTAGATTTTTTTATTGCGAATACTTAATTAATGCAACACGTTACATACAAACAAAGGTAGCGCCATCACTCGGGCACTTTTCAAACAATTTTTTTATTATTTTTATTTATGATACGAATCGTATCGACTTAAATAAAACATATATTTTTAAATATATGTATGCAAAATTGTAGTAAATTTTACCTATATATTGTTTTTTATTTCTATATAGTATGAAATAATTATGGAATACATGGCGCCTCATATAAATGCTTTAAAACTTATTGTCAGAATATATTTTTAATTTTTTATACATGCGTGCTAAGTTTTTTACTAGTTGTACGGACTAAAATTCAATAAACCCTTTGCAACACACTTTTTTTAGGAAAATCCTTTGTTTGCGACGTAAATGGCTTTAGTTTTGTCAAAAACTCAAACAAATACTACGATGATTGCGCCAAAATTTTGGGCAATATGATTTTGCGAGAGCTTGCGCCAACTCTACACATTCCGTGGTCCGTGCCGTTTCAACTCGACGATCCTCCCATCGTGCCAACAACTTTCGGCAAAATGATGGAGCTTAGATGCGTTGTTGGTGTCATTAGACATGGAGATAGGACACCAAAGCAAAAAATGAAGGTTGAAGTCAGACATCCAAAGTAAGTAAAGTAAAATTATGAGACTTAACTTACCAAATTATTAAACAAACTATGGTTGTATTTCCCATATGTGTACAAACTATGGACTGTAGCAAAAAGGCACACCTTAAAGATGTTCCGATTCACTAATACTATTGTATCGATCCGGACCGTATCATAAAGTATTGATACTTATCGTCGTAAAATATTATTTTTGAACTAAATATACAAAAGTTTATATACAGAAGTGCTCTTTTAGTTCCACCCTTTCTTCCTAAGAAGTACCAGAAGCCAACTGAATGGCTTGAGTTGGTTAGGGGTAGGAACGGACCGCGGGCTTAAAGTCTCCTCCGAAGGACTAATACACAATAGGACAAACACAAAGAAATACCATTGATACTTATTATACAGGGTGTCCTAAAATGGCTCAATAACAGTACACACAACCAATCTTATATGGAATCACCTAGTAATTACAAGAATCAGTATTTTACTTAAAAAAAATTGAATTGAAAATAAAAAGCTTATCCTAACCAATTTTATTACAAAAAAAGAAAAAAAAATATTAAAACAAATTTTGTATTGAACAAATAAAAAAAAATGTAAATTTCTCCCAGAATAAACTTTTAAATTTAATTTACTTAATAAACCCAAAAAGAATACATGATTCCATAGCAGGTACAATAGTAGAAAAATAAAAATATTCAACAAATATTACATAAAAACACTAAAATATAAAATATAAATATGTGGAAGTAGGTACAGGCAGTTATCACAGTTTTCTTAATAAATAATAGTTTTTGACCGATGTCGAAAATGTTTTTATTGTTCTTTGGTTTTTTGTTGTCTCAGGAAGTTCATTGTACCATTTAGAGCAAATTATTTTATTCTCCTTTCTCCAAACTTTAAATATTTAAAGCAATGTGATAATGCTGGTTGGTCCTCGTGTTATGTTTATGTTTATTACAGTTTTTAGTTAGGTTTACAGTTGTTTCTATTAGGTTAAGTTTATACACCACTTTGACACTATCCAGCATTATTAGCTCAACAATGTGTAACACATTTAGTTCATTGTAAAGATATGTAGAGCTCGTTAGGAACGGTTTGTTAAATAAGAGCTTGAGAAGTATATTTTGTGTCACTTGCAAACTCTTTGCGTGCCCTCAAAAAGCTGGAAGATACATTAAGTGGGAGTTAATGTATACATTATATATTAAATGTTTAGTTTCCTTGTTTATTAAATAAGCATTTCTTCCTAGGTAATAACTTAAGCTTCCAATTTTATTTTTGAGACTTGAGAACTCCATAGGGAATTTTTTCCATTTTACTATTTTCGTCACCAATGCTTGTGTACTGAAACTTGTTGTGAAAGTAGTTGGTAAATATTTTAAGGGCTCTCTTTGTAACTCCAATTGTCTCAAGTTTTTTATGTAATATATCTGGGTCAACAACATCAAAGGCTTTACATAGATCAAGAAATACAGCTAGTATAGTTTTCTTGTGTTCTAAACTTTCATAAATATTCTCGGTTAGACTTATTATTGCAGTTTGTGTGCTTTTTTTTTTGTTTAAACCCATTTTGACGATAACTTAAAAATTTAATTTCTTGTAGAAAGTTTAGAAGCCTTTTCTGTAGAACCATTTCAAATATTTTTGAAAACACAGAGGGCACAGAGATAGGCCTATAGTTTGCCAAGTCGGTTTTACTGCCTTTCTTATTGATTGGTGTAACTCGTGCTATTTTTAAGACATCTGGAAATGTTGCTTGTTTAAGATGTTGGTTAATCAATACTGCAACCCTGGCGAATTCACTAAACGCAAAATTAACGTTAAGTAGTGCCCAAGTATCACCCATAATTAACTCAAAATTAACGTTGATTTTGGGTTAAAATCTCGTTTCTTAACGCAAATTCGACGTAATTATTTGCAGTTTCGTGCCGATTTAGGATTTTGTGTTAAGTTTAAGTTTATTTTTAGTTAAATTTCCGTTGACTTTGAGTCTACTTTAAGTTAAGTATGCGTTGAATTTGCGTCAACTTTGAGATAGGTTTGCGTTTAATTTGGGTCAGTTTTCCGTTAACTTTGAGTCTACTTTAAGTAAAGTATGCGTTGAATTTGCGTCAACTTTGAGATAGGTTTGCGTTTAATTTGGGTCAGTTTTCCGTTAACTTTGAGTCTACTTTAAGTTAAGTTTGCGTTAAGTTTCGATACATTTAACGTAAAATCCCAGGTAGCACAACGTGACGAAACCGTGACGATTTGTGTCCATTGTGTCCAATTGGACACAAATCGTCACGGTTTCGTCACGTTGTGCTACCTGGGATTTGTGATAAGTTTTTTTATTTCTTAACCCAAATTAAACTTATTGCTATCAACTATAATAACATTTTAGGGTTGATTTATATTGATTAATTGATAACACGTTTTTTTATAGACTTACCTTAAGCTTTGGTACAAAACGGTTAACCACCCTCAACCGTGACAGGGACGCAGTCCATGTTTTTTTTAAGCTGGGATTTTAATGAAAACTCTATTTTAAAGTATAAAAATAATTTATTATAATACATATACACTACATATACCTCCTACATATATTACTATAATAGTAAACAAAAAATAAATTATTTAAATTGCGAAGCCAGCTCTCATGCGTTGAACTCCCAAAGGCATATCTGAAAAACAAAAAATAAAAAAATTATTATATATTTTCTTCTAAATGGTTATAATATATTTACAACTAAGAAATTAATGTAAAAATCAAAATCGACTCAAAACGAACGCAAATTTAACGCAAATTAAACGCAAATGTTTGATAAAAATTCATTTATTATTACGTTTAATAATTTATTTTTATTTGTTTTTGACTCAAGCAATTAATGTTAAACCTAAAATAACTTAATAAATCTAATATATTATTATTTTACCGACTTTTAATAAAAAATCAAAATCGACTCAAAACGAACGCAAATTCAACGCAAATCCAACGCAAAAGTTGAAGACTGAATTTTTATAAAAATTCATTTATTATCACGTTTAATAATTTATTTTTATATGGGTTTGATTCAAGCAATTAATTTAAAACCAAAAATAACTTTAAAAAATCTAATATATTATTGTTTTACCGACTTTTAATAAAAAATCAAAATCGACTAAAAATGAACGCAAATTCAACGCAAATCCAACGCAAAAGTTGAAGACTGAATTTTTATAAAAATTCATCTATTATCACGTTTAATAATTTATTTTTATATGGGTTTGATTCAAGCAATTAATTTAAAACCAAAAATAACTTAAAAAATCTAATATATTATTGTTTTACCGACTTTTAATAAAAAATCAAAATCGACTCAAAACGAACGCAAATTCAACGCAAATTCAACGCAAATCCAACGCAAAAGTTGAAGACTGAATTTTTATAAAAATTCATTTATTATCACGTTTAATAATTTATTTTTATATGGGTTTGATTCAAGCAATTAATTTAAAACCAAAAATAACTTTAAAAAATCTAATATATTATTGTTTTACCGACTTTTAATAAAAAATCAAAATCGACTCAAAACGAACAGAAATTCAACGCAAATCCAACGCAAAAGTTGAAGACTGAATTTTTATAAAAATTCATCTATTATCACGTTTAATAATTTATTTTTATATGGGTTTGATTCAAGCAATTAATTTAAAACCAAAAATAACTTAAAAAAATCTAATATATTATTGTTTTACCGACTTTTAATAAAAAATCAAAATCGACTCAAAACGAACGCAAATTCAACGCAAATCCAACGCAAAAGTTGAAGACTGAATTTTTATAAAAATTCATCTATTATCACGTTTAATAATTTATTTTTATATGGGTTTGATTCAAGCAATTAATTTAAAACCAAAAATAACTTAAAAAATCTAATATATTATTGTTTTACCGACTTTTAATAAAAAATCAAAATCGACTCAAAACGAACGCAAATTCAACGCAAATCCAACGCAAAAGTTGAAGACTGAATTTTTATAAAAATTCATCTATTATCACGTTTAATAATTTATTTTTATATGGGTTTGATTCAAGCAATTAATTTAAAACCAAAAATAACTTAAAAAATCTAATATATTATTGTTTTACCGACTTTTAATAAAAAATCAAAATCGACTAAAAATGAACGCAAATTCAACGCAAATCCAACGCAAAAGTTGAAGACTGAATTTTTATAAAAATTCATTTATTATCACGTTTAATAATTTATTTTTATATGGGTTTGATTCAAGCAATTAATTTAAAACCAAAAATAACTTAAAAAAATCTAATATATTATTGTTTTACCGACTTTTAATAAAAAATCAAAATCGACTCAAAACGAACGCAAATTCAACGCAAATCCAACGCAAAAGTTGAAGACTGAATTTTTATAAAAATTCATCTATTATCACGTTAAATAATTTATTTTTATATGGGTTTGATTCAAGCAATTAATTTAAAACCAAAAATAACTTAAAAAAAATTAATATATTATTGTTTTACCGACTTTTAATAAAAAACCAAAATCGACTCAAAACGAACGCAAATTCAACGCAAATCCAACGCAAAAGTTGAAGACTGAATTTTTATAAAAATTCATCTATAATATATAATCAAAATCGACTCAAAACGAACGCAAATTCAACGCAAATCCAACGCAAAAGTTGAAGACTGAATTTTTATAAAAATTCATTTATTATCACGTTTAATAATTTATTTTTATATGGGTTTGATTCAAGCAATTAATTTAAAACCAAAAATAACTTTAAAAAATCTAATATATTATTGTTTTACCGACTTTTAATAAAAAATCAAAATCGACTCAAAACGAACGCAAATTCAACGCAAATCCAACGCAAAAGTTGAAGACTGAATTTTTATAAAAATTCATCTATTATCACGTTAAATAATTTATTTTTATATGGGTTTGATTCAAGCAATTAATTTAAAGCCAAAAATAACTTTAAAAAAATTAATATATTATTGTTTTACCGACTTTTAATAAAAA